GGTGGTTCCAGCTTTAGGAAAGAGAGCCACACAGTCCTGTTCTGAATCAAAAACACTAAAGATAGAGGTTTAGAGGGTTTGTCACTAAAGCTGACGCCGGGTTTGTTCTCTGTGGATTCTGAAACCTGCCCTGGGCATTTTTTAGCGTCTGAACTGTTTCCTTTGGTTGAATCTGAAAGACTTAACTGGGCGTCTAAGTAGCTTTATGTGTCAAACTGGTCCAACAACGGTGGACCTGAAAGAGCCCGGCATCTCCCGTTTAATTCGTTTCAAACATTCATATTCACAGACGTGCTCAGCTGATCTAAAATCTGTTACTATGAGGAGGAATTACTCATGTAAGCACAAGCTCCCTGTCACTCAGACCAGAATAGATTTGTCAGAACATTTTACAAAGCATTAAACTTCATTGAGTTTCTTTTTTTAAATGCAATTCAAATAAAATCCATTTCCGTCTTCCTAATGTTACAATTGTACACACGTTTACCATTTTGTGAATCAGCAGGACTCACTGATGATGTGTGTGGAGACATTTAGCTGAAGAGGAAAAATAATTCTGTCATCCATCAAATGTGTTTAAATGTCATTCACTCAAAAATGAAACAAAATCATCCAGTTATGATATCTTACATTACACATCCATTTCTTATTGAAGACCTAAAAAAAATCTAATGTAAGTGGAATGTGCTCAGTCAAAAGATTTGTGCCTCCCTCCTCTTTTATTTATTATCTCTGACTGACTGAAGATGAAACCTTAAGTACAGGAAATAATAATGCTCCTATTTAATAGTAAATGTCTGCCCCCCCATCGTGCAGTTTACAGTAATGAACAGAAAACTACATTTAAATGAGCTTCAGATAATGTGCATGTGTTTTTCCTCTGTAACCTGCAGGATCACCAGACTGTAAAATTGCCATTTGCTGTACATACGAAACTATATTTAGGTGATTTCCACCCGGGCTTTCATTTAAAGATTCTATCTGCTTAGTCTGGCTGTCCAAAAAAATGAGAAGAACAAACACTTTATCTACACTGATACATTTTGAGATATTCAAGAATTTTTAGGATTGTTTTGATTCAGTGTCACATTTAAATTAAGTCATCCATCCTTTTGATTTCTGCTGCAATAAGTATTTATTTCATGGCTAAATGACATCTTATCTTCTCTTACACACCATTTCAAGTTCCTTGGAGTAAATCAGTACATTTAACTAAAGCAACTGTCTCCTATTTCTGAGTGAATTCACCATCTGTGTATTTGGAGTTTTTGTAAACTGTGTTTAGGACTAAATACTTTATGACTTTTGTCCCCAAAACTCAAAAATAGGCTTCCTGGTGTGAGAGATGGCTCATGTCAACAAGCCTAAATGTTAGGCTTTGTGGAGGAGGCCGGGCCGCCTGAGCGGTGGGGAAGCCCTGACAGGTGTCAACAGCGACTTCTGAGCTTATTTTTCTGTTGGCAAAGGTCATCGCTCAACAGAATGCCACTGAGAGCAGCGGAAGCTCAAGGCTTTCAGAGCTCCGCTTTCTTCAGAAAGGCTGCCATTGTTATTAAGCTTAGGCTGAAGGCTTCGCTGTGGGGACTTTATCTGGTGCACTTTCTGTTCACCTCCCTCTTTCGGATGGAAACCTCATGAAACATGTCGAATAGTGCAGATGCAAACGTGAAGACAAGTTATGCAGAATGGGAGAAGCGCTTTGTCAGTTTTTGCTGTTTTTCTATGAACCTTTTCAGTTATGAATCCCACAGATTTTCACACCTTGTGTTTTTGAGATCCAGTAGTTCAAACTAAGCATTTCAGACGTATTCAAACAAACTGAAAGTTCTTTACTGCCTACAAAGAAAAGCAAAGGAGGCTTGAAAAGGCCTGAAGAGCAGCATCGTTCCTGTGAGACCTACGGCTACAAAAAACTGAAAACAAAACGCCTTCACCAAACTGAATGCATTCATAAAGACTAAGAGAAACAGCCTCTGTCCAAAGCAGAGGCTGGAGATTAGGAAAGGAGAGCAGGGAGAAGGGAAAGCAGAAAAAACAGAAGGATGAAACAGAATACAAGGATAGCACCATCCCATCACAGCCAGAGGGTTCTGGGTTGGAGTCCCGGGGAACCAGGACCAGAGGGTTCATGGTTGGAGTCCCGGGGGAACCAGGACCAGAGGGTTCTGGGTTGGAGTCCCGGGGAACCAGGACCTTTCTGCCAGAGGGGTTCATGGTTGGAGTCCCGGGGGAACCAGGACCAGGTGGTTTTGGGTTGGAGTCCCGGGGAACCAGGACCAGAGGGTTCTAGTTTGGAGTCCCGGGCGAACCAGGACCAGAGGGTTCTGGGTTAGAGTCCCGGGAGAACCAGGGATTGCATTGCTGCAATTTGTGTTCATTGGTTGAATAGTTCTTTTAGTTAGTAAATAACTTTTTGTCATTACCAAGAATATCTGGTTTGTGTTACATCCCTTTCCATCTACGAGCTGGTTGTAAGACTGTTGCACAGAAAATAATGGATACGTTTTGTATTCTTATTTTATATCCTGAAAATTATCCTTAATCTGTGACATCTTAAAAGCTGCTGGAACAGACTCAGAGGGATCAGACGGAAAAAGGAAGAGAGCATATGTTGTTAGTCTGTTGATGTGTTCGTCTTTCTGACCACTTCTGGGTTTTCTAGGAACTATCAGCAGAGCCGCTTTCTGGGATGGTTTTAAAATGAGTGGCTGGGCTCTTTGTGGAGGTCATGAGCCCCCTGAGTAGGTGGATGGGATCACTTTCAATCCCAAACTCTTCAAACTAACACTGCTGAGGCACCTGCACAGATCAAAGTGTCGTCCCGGAGAAAGGGTCCAAAAAGAGAGCTAATCAAGGAGAGGCAGGAGAGCCCAGAGTAAAGGGAGAGCACGTTTCCCATACATTCATCATGAAATCTTCAAAGGAAGCCCCCTTCCTTACAACACTGAGGTAAAAAAAAGAGAAGTTAAGCCTATTTTTCTGACATAATCAGCTGGATTTTCACTCCCCAGTGCAGTTTACCCCTTATTTTCTGACTCAAACAAAGACCAATGGAGGAAATCCAATGGCTGGGCCAGATCTGTTATTGTTGGGGATGATGCCAGAAGGAATCTGAAGGATTTAACAGCAAAAACAACCAAATACACTAGTAATAGTATATTTGTATAGTAATCAGTCTTTCTGTTAAGTTGTAATGGAAAACCACCGTAACGGTGTTGAATCTCTGTGTCTTTGGTCAGAGTAAATAAAGACTGTAGCGCCCCCTACTGGATGGGGACGGGATCGAAAAGACACAAGTTCTATGATAGAAATGTGTTTGTAAGCGACAATAGCCAAAGTAGCTCAAAGCAGCTCTTTGGGGATCCTGAGAAATCCTGTCTCTGTCGGTCCAACTGGGTTTTCTTTGGCCTTTTTTCAGCTCCAGAAACTGAACAATCCAATGAGTTGTTGAAGACCTGTACTTAATCTGTATTTTTTTGCATTTTGCTCTCTGTGTGCCACTTTTTTTCCCTGTAAGATGCTGGTAACTTTAATTTCCTGAGGAATCAATAAAGTACAAGACTAAGTCTAAGTCTAAGAGGCTGACTCCTGACATTAGTGTTATTTTATTTGGTTTTAGGGGAATGTCCCCCCTGTATTGGCACCTACCAGCCTGCTGCAGGACGAGACCCCAGCTTCCCCCGGAGCCTCACGTGACCGGAGGGGGGGGGGCGGTGCATGGCGTGTTGGCGCCTTTAGTTCCAAAGCCTCACACACCACAGGGCGAAGAATGGACTGTGATCTGCCCTCACTGCAAGGCCAACCTGGAGCATGCTTGACTTTTCCTAACAGGAAAAGAATATTTTAACAGTAATCAACTGTCATCAGTCGTAAATAGCCAACAAAATAAAACAAGTGCTGCTCAAGGAAGAGTTGTGAACGTCCGGTTTCTCATGGTGACGCTGCTGTGTCAGCTGGATTTGGTCAAAACACTCTAAAAATGACTGACAAGATTTTAGTCTAAAGGTTTATACTAAGTTTACAGAGCTGCAGAATGAGTTCTCAGAGGCAGCGGAGACAGAGAAGACACAAAGGACAGACCTGACTCCAGAACCTTCCCCTTCTGCTGAATCCCTGGGAGCTGCGTAGTGTGTGTGTGTGACACACATACACACCGGCGACGCTCGACTCCGCAGTCTGAGGGATTTCTTTACCGCCCGGATTGGAATACTTCTCTTTCCAGCAGTCAAACCCAGGCGTGTTAGCGGGAGATAAGACAAGGGGAGTCATTCTGGGCTGCTGGACTGAGAGAAACTGAAATAAAATAGTGATTGTGTGTGGCTGGTTCAGCGCCTCCCAAAGAATGTTCTTTCTCTGTGTGTATCATCACAACATTTTTCTAACATTTACAGAGGAAGCCTTTTTTCCACCAATGATACAATAAAACTACAATGATAATAAACATCCTTCTAATCAAAAGAGGAAAAATGAACGTGATCCTAATACTTACAAGGTCTGCTCAGGCCGAGTTCCTCAGGTCTTCATGATGGCGTTGGGTGAACAGCAAGCCGTGGTGGTCACAGGCCACTGACCGGTCAGGGACCGCCCTTACCTGAGGTGACCTTTCACCCTAACCTGTCAGATCAGACTTATTTCAATAAAGTCGATGCTTAAAGATGCTCAGGGACCCTGAAACATCCCATAATTCTGCTGGGGGGCTCCCATGATGCACCTCTCCTCCCTCTATAGGCCCAGACTGCTGCGGGGGGGGTCCCATAATGCATCTCTCCCCCCTCTGCTGCCATAGTTCAGCAGCAGTTTAATTCACTGATCTCACAAAACAATACGAGATAAATGAATTCATCCAGATATGAGGACTGCTCCTTGTGGGAATTTGGCCATATTAGACAAATACGCGTGTATACATACATGCATATGTATATACACAAATATGTGTAAATATACACACATATACGCATTTTTATGTATACACACATGCATATATAGATGTATGTATACATACAGATTTTATACACACAAGTGGAATACACACATCCATGTCTTCATCCCTCAAATATAATGTCATTTATTTACATCTGTGTTTTAGTTGTGTAGCTTACCAAATGATTTCAAACAAGGCATAATAGCTCCTCTGGCAATGTAGAGAACAAAACGGCTTTATGAACATTTACATTTCTTATAAAACTCTAAAAGTCACAGAGATGTAAAAAAAAGTAAGAGTAAAAAAACCATGATGTAAAAACAGCAACAGCAACGCGTCATTTGATAGAAAAAATAAGAATGGCTTCAAATTGGGAGAGAAAGGGTCAGCTCACTGCAGCTAAAAGTAAAATGTTCTTATCGTTTATGGGCCTCTTGAGTAGGCGTTACTGGTTGCTCAGATCAGAGCTCATTTCTTTGGTGGGAGACCTGACGGTGGATGAGACAGTCCTAAAAACTCTGTGGTACATCAGAAACATGCATTTCATCCCAGTCATTCTGCAGTGCGTGCTGAGGCCACCCACCAGCTACGCGCTCATGTGTTCATAGTCCGAGGAGTCAGACTGACCCACAGCTGGGCACAGCTTTTCCAGACCCGCGTCAGTCTCTGGTGATGCGGGGGGGGCAGCAGGGGCCCAGCCCAGCGTATGCACGACATACAGAGAAAGACAACAGAGAGAAGGGAGGACAGTGGAGGGTCCAGACCTTTGTAAAAATGGCAGGACACAGTGATACGGGGTCGTGTGTGTGTGTGTGCTGTGATTAAGACGGAAGTCCAGGTGGGGGCGAAACACCATCTGGGCTGGACTCTGCACCTTAGCAGGATTTCATTTAAAAAAATAGAATCTGTACATTTCTCTACATTTTTACAGGGTCTCCCACAGCCCGGGTCAGAACAGGTACTTCCGGCAGGATTCGGACCCACACCGACACTCCACTCGGATCCTCTTCTTCGGGGATGTCGGGAGCCCCGCCAGGCTGAAGCTGGAGTCCATTTTGGTGCTTTCCGTGTCCACTGGGTCAACTGGAAACACACAAACAAACAATCAGAGCCCAAGTGGAGGAGAGGGTGTACAGTGGACTGTGAGCTCCAGATGGGAGACAGGCATGGCCACATCTGGAGCCATTTCTCTATCGTTAGGAATGAATTCAAAGAAAGTGGAAACATCAGGGGGGGTAAGAAAGCTGCTATGCGTTTGCATTATTAGCTGGTTTCTCTTGGGGGTTACTAAATGAGTTTTAAACCAAACCAAACTCAATAGAACACGTTTGAGCTGGGAACAAGCATTATATGGGAGGAACTTATAAGTAGAGGAAATCTGTCCTTCCTTCATGAAGAACAGAAAGCTGGAGATTGAAACCTGTCGGCACCTTCTGCTGATAGATGCTTCGGTTTCTAACCCTTCTGCCATCATTACAGAAGCTAAAAAGCCCGACTTGATCAGAAAGACACGGGGAGTGCAGGCGGCTGGCTGAATGGGTTTAGGCAGACTGACTATAAACAGGACTTTTGAACACAACTGATATGCTGTGTTGAAAATGTAAATTAGCATGGCAACGTTTCAGTCCTGAGGTCAGGATGCTGTCTGACGTTTGTCCGTGTCATAACTGCCGGCAGAAATAGCCGGATGTGTCTAACAGGTTCAGAGTGAAATGAAGGGAAATGCTTACTCTGTATCTTGTAGTCAAAGGTGAGTTCCTCCCCGGCCCGGATGGAGCGGGTTGAAAAGAGAGCGATTCTTGGAAGCCGCTCATCTATGTTGTCGATGAAGACGTTGAAAACCTGAAGGTTGGGGTTACACTGCAGAAACCACAAAACAAACAAACCAGATGGGGATGAGAAGCTTTTCATCCACACTCACTGTTCCATCTGAAGTTGGTTCAGTTTTATTAATCTAGCACCAAATCACAGCACTTAGTCCAGCCCATTGTAATCCAGTCACAACACAGAGCCAAAAGGATGAGCTGGTAGTAGAAACCTCAGATAGTGTTTAAGCTTGCATTAGGGCACCGACTTGATTTCTTCTTCTTTTTTTTCTTTTTTTTCTCTTTATAATCTTTCATTTGAAAAAGCTTCATTCTGAGAGCAAAGCATTTTTACTGAAGCTATATAGAGAGAAACAACTTGAAAACACTGATTGGAGGTGCTTTTTCTGGACTCCGAGGCCACTCACACTGTGGTTGACGAAGTGGGAAATGTTTCCCAGGTGGGCTGCATCCACCGTGTACACGTCCTCCACATAATCCAGGTCGAACAGGTAAGTGGAGCCCTGGCAGTCGTAGAAATGGCCCCTCCTCTCCGCCTCGTCTGTTGTGATGATCTGGGAGAGACGTTACATTTCAAATCACAGCGCAGACCCCAGTGAAACATGTGAACGATTAGCGAGGACCAGGACTAATTCCAGAGCCACGACAGCTCGTCCTGGACCGAGTGGCTTAACGTGGTGACTGTGAGGCTGAACCTGCTTTTTTCCCCAAGTTCCCCTGCTCCAGCACACCTGATTCTAATGAATGGGACTTTAGCAGCTTTCTGCATAGCTGAAAAGTCGTTCCCTTCATTAGAATCAGGTGTGCTGGAGCAGGGAAACTTGGGAAAAAAGCAGGGCAGTGTGCCTTGAGGACCAAGATTGGGAAACAGTGATATTAGATCCAGAATAAACGTCTGTGGTGCCTGAGGTGGAGGTGTGTTCTGGGGCTGGCAGGAATGCATAACACTAGGGTTGTCACGATACTAAAATGTTCAACTCGATACCGATACTCAGGAAAGTATTCGATACTCGATACCATTTTCGATACCATGAGGATAAAAACAAAGACCCCAAATTTTACTGAATTGACCGGTTAGTGTCTTTGGTTTCAAACTGACCTGTTACTGATCTTATGGTGGCCAGTGGCCGATATTAATGACCCTGACCCTAACCCTCCATTCTTCATAATTGTGAGAAATAAATATTTTTTGGTTAAAGTTGTTTGGACTTATCGTACAAATCTATTTACCATCCACTATTTTAACAATATTATGTATAGAGTTTAATTCAGTGTGTGCAAAATTAATTTTACTATTTTTAAATGAATGTCTATATTTCCATGAAGCATTTAGGATTTTCTTGCCTGGGATCTTATTATTGGTGACCTAATCAAAATGGCCGACTTGGATGTGGGGGAGTTGGATCTCCATCCTTGGCTTCCTGCAGTACTTGATTAATGTTGGCGTGTTATTATTAGCCATTAGCCACAGCTAGCCATTCAAGGCTAATGACACATTAATGATCATAAATAAATCAGAGAGGGGGGGACCGATACTTTTGAAAATGAGTATCATATCCGGATACAACGTTTTAGTATCGATACTTTTTGGAGTATCGATACTTTTCAACTCCCGGGTCTGGGAGGGATGGTGGAGGAGGAAAGCAAAGGGGCCTCACCTCCCCCACGTACTCCATGACGAAGGTGTTCTTCTTGATGTGCTGCAGCGTGCGGACCCCCCAGCCGCGGCCGTTCCCCGTCTTGAAGATGCACAGGTCGAACTGGATGCCCTTCTGCACCACCCTGTTGGGGCAGTCGGGCCCGCAGCTGCAGCGGGAGTTGCACTCGTAGATGGGCTGGCCGGGCCGCAGCCGGACCTGGCCCCGCTCGTTGTAGGCCATGCGGTGCAGCGAGGCCCCCGGGCAGCAGCCGTTGACCGGCCGCTCCAGGCAGCTCTTGCACTCGCAGCCCAGCGCCATCTCGTTCAGGACGATGCCCGGGCCCACTTTGTAGTTGTTGATGTAGGTGAAGCCTTTGGGGGGGCCCTCCAGGTCCACGTCGTTGGTGACGTAGATGCGGCCGGGGTGATTGCGGGTCTGGTTCAGGTGGTCCTCCCAGCGCTGCAGGCTCTGGCGGAGCTTCGCTTTCTGAACGAGGAGCGAGGCAACCTCCTTATCTAACTTCTTAGGAATGCATCGTCTCTTATGGCGTTTGAGCTCCTGATCCAGGTCCAGATGAAACATCTTCATCAGTTTGGGACATTTGAGGTTCTTCTTGGGTTCCCAGGTGTTATCGGATTCAGGGAAGCCCTTCCACTTCACCAAGTACAGCTCCTCCTCCTGAAACAGACCGCAAACTTCACTGGGAGAAAGCACGGCATTCTTTCCAAACCGTAGTCAAGTGGACATCGGCCACTCTGAACCCACCTGCAGACCACTGTGTTTCAAAGTCATCTAAACGGGAAGGCCTTTACTAGGGCTGCAACGATTCGTCGACGTTGTTGACAAAAATCGATAATAGAAAAAGTCGACAATGAATTCCATTGTCGACTATTGTCGCCAGACGTGTTTTTCCAACAGAGTGAGACATCTCACTTAATTACAATCTGCCCAGAGTCACCTGCACAACAGCGTCGCGGTTACAGAAATGGCGGCGTCCAACACGCCTACAAAAACTTCCAAAGTTTGGGAGCATTTTATCCTTGATACAACGAGTAAAAAAATTGCGTGCAAGGTTTGCAAAACAGACCTTGCGTATCACGGCAGCACCTCGGTGATGCATGAGCATTTAAAAAGAAAGCATGTTGGGCACTTAAATGAAACGGAGTCTGACTCGCCTCGGTAAGATTTAAGCAACAATAATGCTAATATGTTTTGTCTTTTATGTGCGTTATACATTTTCTAAGCGTTTTTTCACTTTAAAAGAGAGCTTTAACGTTATGCCTGACAGTGCCTGACAAACGCATTCTTATTTACGTTTTGTATCAGCTGCAAAGTTGAATAAAAGATGCATTTTTCATTGAAGTACCCATTTTTTCTTGTGTTTATCATTTTCCACTTAACTAAAGCAACTTTATGCTATTTTTAAGAAAAAGTGAATAACTATTCGATTAGTCGACTAATCGTTTCAATAGTCGGTGACTAGTCGACTATTAAAATAGTTGTTAGTTGCAGCCCTAGCCTTTACAAGATCAGAGATGTTACAGGTTCACACAGAGAAAAAAAATTGTAATGAATATTTCATTTTTAGTATCTGAAATTTGATAAATATTCAGAAGGAAACTGCCCTCCTGAGGTAATATCAGAAGTTCTGCTCCATGGAGCCCAGGCACAGTAAAAAGAGTGGGCACTGCCGGGGACATTTTCAAAAGCCTACAAAGAAGTCCCCCCCACAGTGGCATCCCACTGCATCACTGTCCAACCCAAACCCTTCTGAAAGCATCATGAAAAGAACATCTGGATCATTTGACGTAGTTGTGTGTAGTTAGTAACACAACCAAATGAATCACTTTGCCACTAATCCCTCTTTCTGGCTCTGAATAAAGGAATGACTGCCTGGTGGGAATCGGCCACGAGGCACTTCCCAATAACTTATTGCTCTGCTGCTTTCTATTGGCTGTCCACAACCTCTTCTTCTCTACTTCTAACTGGTTCCTCTCTTAGGGACAGTCAGCAGCCTCGGGCCTCTTGTAGACTTGTAGAAGTGACAGTTTCAGAACGATAGGACCGGGGCCGCAGCGTCATTTGACAGGTGAGGACTTGAGCCACACATTCATGAATCCAACATCTCCTTAAGAGGTGCTAGCTTCCTCAGTCAGCTCAAAGCAATGGGAACATAACCAGGAGAGTGGGGGCTAGCTTCACTGCAGAGCCTCTGGAGGGCCTGAAAGTCAGAGATGTTTATGTTTATGCATTTGGCAGACGCTTTTATCCAAAGCGACTTACAGAGTAGATGTTCTGTACCTGATGGGACTGCTGCAGAGGCTTTCGTCCCAAGGGTTACAATCACAACAAGTCTTTCGTTTCCTGAGGGAGTCTTCCCAAGGGATCAATAAAGTACAAGTCTAAGTCTAAGTGGAATCGGCCGTGTGCTGGACACTCATATCATACCTTAGTCTTCTTGTAGTCGCAGAGGAATTCCACCTCGTACTCATTGACGTTGGCTCTGTTCACTCCAAGGCGTTTACAGTAGAGCTTCTCACTCCGGCACAGGGCCTCCAACTCATCCCAGGACATTTTACAGGGCACACTGCAACCTGACACAACAAAACACCGACACAGTTAGGAGTCAAATGCACGCAGGCTACGAGACACTTCACCAAAGTTTGCATATGGCTACAGGCACAACCCTTGCTGAAAGGAAATGAAACATGGAGTAGTTACGTTTGACGTTGTATGGGTGCCTAAATGTTAAGCCAGAGGCCCCATCAGGGCAGCTTGATCGTTTTTAAACGGGAGTCATTCAGAGAGAACAGCTCGGTAACCGAGAAGGAAAAAAGATTTGATGTGCATTTACAATCGCCCTGACTGCAACGCGTACACAGGAGGCCACACACCAAATTATCCGCACATCTGCCCACATGCAGCTGCTGAATGGCGCGTGCTGCTCGCGTTATCTGGTGTTAATCTGCCCGCCGGTCCTAGTCTTAAAAACCCTCTTCACTATCCAATACCGCTATGCGTACTGAAGTATACAATGCGTGTACTTCTAACGTCCTCGGGGTTACTTTCCATTCACAAGCAGCTTCCCACAACGCGTTCAGTTAAAGAGCACAAGACCATTGGATAACAAATTCGTCTCCTAAAACCACAACGAATACAAAATATTCATTAACGTTAATAAGAAAATAGTTAGCGTGGGTGTGGAGGGCATTTAAAAAGTTTACACTGCGCAAGTAAGCCTCATTAAATTAAAGAACAATTTCAAATAACTCTTCATTCAGTACCTTTCAAATTTTCCGCCATGTTTTAAACGCAACCGCCAAAATAGGAGGAACTACACAAAGCAGGGAGTCGTTCGGCAGGGCGAGCTGTAGTGGCTGCTGATTGGACGCTGCTCATCTGTCACGCCGTTCATTGGCTGAAAAGCGTTTTGTTGGTTCCGCCCATCGACGTTTTTCCTATGGTTCCAGTCGTGTTGGTGCGATGTAAACCGGAAGAAGACAGATCAAATGGAGACGCTGATTGGCCGTTTCGGTGAAACGTCAGCGCGCAGCAGCGGAACAATTCCGACGTCATGGCGTTTTTGTTTTTTTAAAGAACTCTTTTATAGAAACAATGAACAGTTACAAACTCAGTTGTTTAAAACAATGCTAAAATTAAAATAATATATCTAATGTTACCTCCAAAATCATATTCAATGTAATATCTACAATATGTTATTGATACCCATTCATTTTTGAGAAGTGAACATCCTGGTATATTTGTTGTTGTGTTTTTTTTAACTATCCACAAAGTTTTCGATAGGGCACATCTATTTTTGTGTAATTTATATTTTACAAAAAAAATATTATGCTATTAGGAAGACCAACTTTTATTTTTAGAACTAATTTCTAATTGTCTGCTTTTAAACTTTATGTAAAGCGCTATGAATGGTCATGTACACAAAATGTGCTATCCAAAAAACTTTCCCTTGCCTTACTGTAATGGAGCCCCCTCATCCTGGGCTCTCATGAAAAGCTCTTCCTGGGAATTTCTGCACACCTAGTTCCCTCTGTCCCGTTGGATTTTCCGGCACTTATAGAAATACAATACTTACTGGTCATCCCTGTGATGGAAATAGTAACGCTCTCATGTTCACCTGTTCAGTGTCAGACTTTCCCCCGTGGAGTGGCTTTTATGTAAAACTGCTTTGGTTAAGAGCCATGTGAATGCAGTCTATTTCAGCAGAAACTAACCACAGGGATACCTGCAATGAAATCTGTGGATTCAGGCTGGCTGAACTGTTGCCCACTTATGGAAGAATCGTAAGGACTAGTGACCCAGAGCTTAACTACGAGTGTCACGAAATGCCAAAAAAGCCCCTCATGCTAAATAGCAGAAGAATGGTTGTGGTCCCAGTTTGAAAAGATGAAACACTGGTCTGATTCTGATTCCATCAGCCAATCCTGAGCCCCTCCTGGATCCTTCAAGGCCATCATTAATGGAATAATCAAGACTTTCTTTAATAATTTCACCTTCTTCTTCCCATATTTGTTGTTACTGGAATCCTGCATCCAGTTCCTGGTCACCAACTAAAGGGTAGTCTCATGTACGGGTCCACAATCGGGCTAAGCCTGGACTCAGCTGGCTCCCTACAAAACCCTGTCTTCTTCCAGTGATTTCGGCAGGTTCTCCAGCCTTGGCTCCTTACAACTGGCTCCTGCATCGACTCTCTTAGATGCAATCTGCAGCTGAATTCCTCACAGAATTTGTAGGCCATCTGTGGAAACTAGGTGGCATTCAAAGGCTTCACGATAGGGTCCTCCTGAATGCTTTTAATGAACAAATGAAAGACCAACCAGCTTCAAGGCATGAGAACCCTCTTTTGAAAGGCTCATCCACATCAATAATCATATGTATATATGTATAGCATCTTTAAAAAGCAGACATGCTGTTATTAAATAATTATGATACCATTGTTACAACGTTATCTGTGTCTCTGTGGACAATTAGTTACAAAGACTGTAAGCTGAAATTTGCCCTTACTCACTTTGGGACCTGGCCAAGACAGAGAATGGAGGTGTGCAGGGGATAACTTCCAGAGCCCCCAGCGTCTCTGGGATGCTGCTCTGCAGACCACAAAGCCATAAAACAGCGATGACGCAGACAAACTCTGCTCTCAGTCCGTAGCCCTGTAAGACTTGGTGGCTTTGTAAAATAGAAGATGGCCATAAAAGGACACAAAGGTTGATACATGATGATGGCATTCACATACAGGTTGAGGTTTACTGAATCTACCTGCAGGACAACAAGAAAAACATTCCTTTTATTCCTGAAGGGGGCAAGTCCATGGCAGAGGACGTTGGTCGCAAAGAACAGTTCATTCTAAAAATCCATTTATTTCATGTGATTAACCAAGAGGTGAGAAATGTGTGTGCAGCAGGTCTACGTGTGGCATGGCCGCAGGAAGTGCTGCAGCACCCCCTGGTGGCGAAAGGCAGATTTTTTAAAAATGTATTAAAAATACTTTACACATTTTAGGAAATTATTTTGACTTTATTTTTATTATTACATGTATTTGGATTTTAATAGGATTAGTTTGAGGCCTAATCAACACAGGTTCATGATAGCTGAGCAAATCTACGTTGTTCTTGTGTTAGTTTAATTAACTAACACAAGTTAAATTAAGTTTAATTAATAGCGCATATATATTCACCAGAGAACTGAGCTGGTTGCGTGCACTGAAGTGTATATGACAATGAAGTAGTGAATCTCAATCTATCTTGTTTATTTGCATTTATTGTATTTTAAATAGGCCTATAGGCTCATAGGTCTTTTGTAAAAAATGAATAAATCACAGCCCCCCCCTGTTCAAAATGCTTCCCCGTGACCTGTGGTGAAAAATGACGGCGTAAAAAGACCAGAAGACCTCGTAGAAAATCAAAGTTCTTTAATGAATAAGAATGAAAGGAGGATAAATGCTTATAAAAACAACTACTAAAATACATTTCTACGGCTGCTTCTGAGCCTTTTACGTCTGAACGTGTGAGTGTGTGCGGCTGCTCCCTGACAGAGAGCCCCCCCCCCCCTCCCCAGGCCCGGGCCGCCACCCCACCTTAACCAGAGCCTCTCCCGGGTCCGTGGGCCGGGAGGCCTCACTGAATCAAACGGTACAGGACCCAGCAGGCGAACAGCAGCCAGTGGCCGGCCCAGCCCAGGTCTGACCACCTCTGGATGGTGTGGATGGCAGCGAAGCCCTGCGGACAGAGAGCGGCCAGCGTCAGTCGGCCCCCCCTGCGGTCTGCCAGTCGCCTGGCAGCCATTTTCTAATGTCCCAAGCTGGACCGTGAGCCTGCTGAGCCCACAGGACGTGAGGCTCTCCGTCCTATGTAGGACCACTCCACCCCTCCCCTCTGTGGATAAACGTCTGACCCAGCCCTGACCGTACCTCTTCCACTTCCTGCTCGTCCTCTCCGGAGTCAAACATGGAGCCCAAGTAGGCGAGCTGGAAAACCACCAGGCAGCTGAACAGCAGGTTCAGCAGCCTCACCCACAGGTTCTAGTGAGCAGAGACACAGTGAGAGCCGCTCCAGAGAATGTGCAGCCCTGGGCCCCCCCGCTGGCCCCGCCCTGTGGGACCTACCTTCTGGTGCTGATGGCTGCAGTCGGACGCGCACGGCCTGGAGAGGACGCACGCACTGAAGATGGACGCCAGCCTCCTCCTCAGGACTGAGGGCAGCCAACAGAACACACATTCACAGCCGTTAGCTCCGGGCTGAGGCAGCCAGGACTCCCCAGAGGAATTTTACCGCTCTGAGCCAGAGGTTCTTAAGCTTTGTTGAGGTACTGAAGCCACCAGTTTCAGATGCACATTCACTGAACCCTTCTTTAGTGATAAATAAAGTCGATTTTTTCCCCAAATTCCAGACATAAGTATGTTTTTTTACTGGTGCTAAAAAATGAGCCGTACATGAACATCACCTTGCTCAGAGACCAAAACCAACACAGTGCATCAACTGACTACAAATTACAATATACCTTATTTCTGGCCCCCCGAAAAAATATTTTGACCCCAAAAAAAAGGATTTCAACCTCCAAAAATATTTTTTTACTATTTTACTAACAAAAAATAAATTTGGATTTTTTTGTAGAATTGAACATTTTTTAATAACTTTATTTTATTTTATTTTAAATTTCATTAGTTTTTTTATATCATGCAGACAGGACCTGACTCCCGTCCATATTCGTCAGACCACTTTTTTTTTTTTTTGCAGGACATATTTAGCACGGATTCAAATATTTAGAGAGAAACCACACCACGTACGACTACGACAGCCGACAACCGAACCCCTGAGACACATCCATCCAACCCCGAGGGTTCCACAGAACACAGGCTGAGAACCACTGGTCTGATCTGGGTTCCTAACACAGAAAAAGAAGCGTGTTCCCCATACCGTGCTCCACGTAGGTGATGAATCCCAGCGAGAGCAGGACCGCTCCCAGATGAAAACTCAGGCCCTGCGGGAGACCCACAGCACAGTTAGGGTCATTAATGCGGGCCACCGGCCACCATAACATCAGTAACAGGTCAGTTTGAAACCAAAGACACTAACCTGTCAAAATTCAGTTACATTTTATGGGTCTTTGTTTCTATTCTTGTGGTATTAAAAATGATATTGAGTATTGAATATTTTCCTGAGTATCGGTATCCAGTTGAACATTCTAGTATCATGACAGCCCTAGCGTACGGGGCCTGTGGACAGACGCTTCCACTCACGTGCAGCAGGGCGCTGGCCGTGTAGGTCATCAGGATGGCGGGGAAGGTTCCCAGCTTCTGGGTGTTTTTGAAGACATCTGAGGGAGAACAAACGCACGTCAATACGGCTGCAGGGATCTGAACACCCCAACGTTTCCTCTACGGTAGGGTGACCAAACGTCCTCTTCTGCCCGGACAGGTCCACTTTTTACATCCTGTCCGGGGAGTCTGGAGGGGGAGTAGAAATTTATGAAAAGGTTTTCACTGTTTTTCATGGGACCAGAATCACTTTAATCCACTGGTGCTTTGCACAAAATACTACGGTACCTTGCCGGCCAACGTAATTCTCAAGGGGAGCCTTGCGGGGGGGTCTAGCGAGGCACCCACACACACAGGGAGCAGAATGCCAAAAATAAAGTGCAAAAACTTTTTCCAAGTACCGTCCCGGTTTAGACCAGCGGGATAAAAAGGATCTAAACTTAGTATACATCCTTTTTGTTGAGTTTGTGTGGTTGTGAGACTGTTTAATTTATTACATTCAGAGGGTATTTAGAGGTATTTTGTTGAAGCTGCATTTTCTAATCCAGAAGAGGTCATATTCAGACCATTATTTGATTTTATTGATTTCTTTAAAGGAGGGCTACAATTTTGTTACTGGTTGTTACAGATTGGGTTTTACTACCCAAGTTCTTTTGGTACCATTGACGTCTAATAAAGCCTGTCCATTAACATCTGGGAAGCCTGTCTGAATCTGTCTGGAGGCAAAGTGTCCTCCTTTTTGGAAATCAAAATACGGTCACCCTACTCTACGAGTTCAAGTTCAGACAACGTGAACAGGTGGACAACAGTGCATAGAAAGTGGGGGCATTCTGCCACATAACATGCTCACACAATGAAGAAAGGCAATAAGCAGTCTGCCTAAAGGCTTAGCTGGCCCAGAAGGTGTTCCCTCTCCGGGGAAAAGTGCTGCATGACAGCCAGACTCACATGTTTTCAGCCATCTGGACATGGGGATGTTCCAGGAGGTCACCACCAGCACCATGGAGCGGGGCATTTCCACGCTGAGAGGACTCACCACCTTCATATCCCTAACAGTGGACACAGCTTTAGAAGCCGTCCGGCGGCCTGCGGGGGGGCGTCACAGCAGCGGAGCAGGCCTCATTTACCAGCGGGTCTTGTCCTTCTCCTGTGTGAAGCCGGCCCCCGCCGACATGCTGGTCCCCTCGCTCAGGTGGCCCACGAAGAAGTTGCTGAAGTGGAAGGACACCGCGTTCTCGTAGGCGTAGAGCCACCTGTCGGGGGGGGGGGGGGGGGGGTATACGTCAGCCAGGCTGCACCCACAACTGACCCGTCCAGCCTCAGCTGCCCAGTCCCTTCAGAAAGGCCCCATCCATCACCAAACTAACACCTGGCCTGACGTTAAGCCTTTCTGCGAGGCTAAAGCAACCACACCAGCCATTAAGCACGCTAGCAGCCCCCGCTACTGAGACAGCCCGAGAAGAGCCGGCCTCACCCCCCATGGAGGTAAAAAATGTGTGGGGGGGCAATGTAAACACAAGCATTGGAGTATTTCAAGGGAAGTGGTTATGCCTCTGAGGGACCTGGTCCAGGCGAGTCCGGTCTGAAGACGGGGGTGTTAGGTCTTTCCCTCACCCCCAACCGGCCGAGGCAGATGGCCGCCCACCCTGAGCCATGGTTCTGCTCCAGGTTTCTGCCTGTTAAAAGGAAGTTTTTCCTTGCCTGTGTCGCCTAGTGCTGCTCATGGTGGGAATAGTTGGGTTTCTGTAATTAACTTCAGAGTAAGTCTGACCTGCTCTGTTTGGAAAGCTGTGAGACAACTGTTGTTGTGATGTGGCGCTATAGAAATACAATTGAATTGAGGTAGGAACTCTGTTAGGATAACATCATGTTGTTGGAGTTTCTTTTGCTAAGTTTCCAATGCATCATTGGAAAATTAGTCACGGGAGCAGAGGGAGGGACTGTAACCGGGCAGCTGCAGGAGGAGGAGAGCCTTACTTCTGTGTGGCGGCGTTTCCGTAGAGCGGGATGAAGACGGGGAACAGGTACGGGGCCACGCAGGTGGACACCAGCAGACACGCCTGGCTCTTCAGCAGGCTGAGGAGGGAGCGCCGCAGCCACGCCCAGCTCTGAGGAAGCAGACCCGGTATCAGCACAAGCACGCACGCCCCCAGAGAACTCACACACGCCCACACACACACACACACACACACACACACACACACACACGCTCACCAGCTTGGGTCCGTCCACGGCATTCTTATAGGCGGAGAAGCTGATCCACGGGCCGAAGACGGCAGTGCCCACAAAGAGAACGTAGCCCAGGAACTCGGCCGGGGAGGGCAGGCTGCCCACGGCCCTTCTGTCCAGGTCAAAGGCCAGAGAGATGACCTTCATGGCCACCACCATCTGAGAGCCTGACACAGACAGGAACGGTACGGGTCATTGCACAGAGAAGGGGAAATGGCCCACACTTTCTAAGACTCGGCCTGTGGTCCAGCTCAACGTCCAGTCTGACGGAGCGGGTGCAGCCCAGCCTGGCCCCCCCTCTGCTCAGCCACGGAGGGGGGAGAGGACTCGGCTGTCCTTCTGTGGGCCACTGATCCATAAGGCCTTAACAGAAGTAAATACATCATCGAGGGGGGGTTTTCTACCCATGAAGCCTCCCTTTGAGTGTTTGAAGCTTCCGTAATGCTGGACAGGGGGAGGGGAAAACACACAGCCAGAACAACTGCGCACCACTTTTTCGATCTGTCTGAATTCAAGGAGACTGTGTCCAATAAAGTTCACACATCTGGAAAAATACAAATCTGCTGCAAAGTGAGGAGATACCAACCTCGGATTTTATGCCAGGTCACCATGTCGATTAAATGCAACTCTCTGAGAAAAAAAGAGGGAGAAACGTGGGATTACAGGACAGAAATGGATGGCAATTCTGCACAGACTGGCTCAGGATGCACGGCTCTAGTGTCATGGGTCAGGGCTGGAAGGGGGCAGTTTCCCTCTGTTTGTTTTTTTAAGAAAGCAAGCCAGTCATGTGACCACTAAAATCTAAATTTTTAATTGCGATGCTTGTATTGTTTATTATATCTTATTTTTTAACTAGGGACTACGGATGAAAATTAGCTTTGTAGCTACAATCCGGCATATTTACATTTGTTTTCACTGATGTCCATTAATGTGCTCTGTCCCTATTCAAATAAATAAATAAATAAATAAATAAGATGGAGCAGCGTGGGCTCAGAAAGAGCAGCCGCCAACCCAACCTGCCGACGCTGGCTGGGGGGGACGGCAGCCCGCTGAGGCCCCCTCTGAGGCCTTTTTTCGCTCACCCGATGAGGAGGTAGAGGAGGACGACCCCGGAGAGCAGCAGGCCCCTGCTGCCGGGGCGGGGGCTGAGCAGCAGGGCCAGGTAGCAGAGCCCGCTGAGCAGCAGCACCCACAGCAGCTGCAGGCCGAAGAACAGGAAGAGCCCCAGCGTCCCGCACAGCAGCGAGGCCAGGTGCTTGGCGGCCGGCGCCACCTCTGAGGAGCACAGGCCGATCAGAGCACGCCCTAAAACAACCCCCCCCCTCGGGGGCGGGGGGGGGGGGCCGGGGGGGTCCAGCTCACCCAGTCTGAAGCAGAGTCTGCAGAGCAGGCAGAGCAGCAGCAGCCCCCACAGCTGCTGCAGGCTCTGCTGGGCCGTGCTCAGCCCGCAGCTGACCGCCAGCTGCCGCCACACCGCCAGCCGCCCGCTCGCGTCCATCCTGCAGCCAACACACAACACAACCCCCCCACCATCAGCACGGGGGGCCGCACCGGCCCCGTCCAATCCACGGGTCAGAGCGTCAAACCCATGGGTCAGAGCGTCCGACCCCCGGGTCAGAGCCCATGGGACCCTGGCCCATGGGTCAAAGTGTCCAACCCATCAGTCAAAGTGTCCAACCGATGGGTCAAAGCGTCCAACCGCCGGGTCGGAGCGTCCAACCCCCGGGTCACATTGTCCGACTCCCGGGTCAGCCCCGTCCAACCCCTGGGTCAGAGCATACAACCCCCGGGTTAGAGCGTCCAACCCCCGGGTCAGACCATCCGACCCCGGGTCAGAGCGTCGTACCCCCGGGTCAGCCTGTCCAATCCCCGGGGGTCAGAGCGTCCAACCCATAGGTCAAAGCATCCAACCCCCGGGGCAGCCCGTCCAACCCCCGGGTCAGAGCGTCCAACCCAGAGTCAGCCCCCTCCAACCCCGGGGTCAGAGCGTCCAACCCCCTGGTCGTAGGTCCAACACCCGGGGTCAGAGCGTCAAACCCCCGGGTCAGAGCGTCCATCCCCC